AGTTCACAGGGCTCTCCCACCCCTAAGTCCACTACAGCAACTAGGTCCTTGCAACGTCACTACCCCTCTACCAAGGGACAGTGGGATCCTTTCTCCTGGAAAACAGAGCTGGGTCCATCCTCTCTCATGGAGCCTAACTCTGCAGCAACTTGTTTTTAAATACGTGTCCATTCCTACTAGACTGTGAATCTCCTGAGAGCGGAGACCACCTACTAGTATTGAGCCTGACATTTGGTTACCATCTGATAAATGGTTTTGAAATGAGTAAGTGGACTTTAAGCAAAAAGGATCTGGGAACCACATAAGCATTATATATTAATAGTGCAGGAGCTTTTTAGCTAAATGATCCTGTCGTTGCTCACTCTACTGACAAGTAATTAGCAGCACATACAGAGTCACGTGAAGGCATGTTTGGTAAGGGTTTTGGTAAAAGAAGAGATTGGGTCATCTGAAAGGGTTGCTTTCAGGTCTCGTCTGTGAAACTGAATACTGAATGATTAATGGAGAGATTTATATTTGGAAAACTGCCACTTCAATAATTTATTTTAAAAATCTAATGATTTACTATCAGGAATAACCATGGAGATAGCGGAGGCACAGAGGAGATTATATCTGAATGAGAGCTTCTGAGTAGGCTAGTGACAAACCCAGAAGTTTCCAAATTCTCCCACATTCCAAGCTTTCTGCTTAGATTCTATTAGAAAAGTGAGTGGCTATGGTAGAAAAATTAACTTAAAATTTATTACTTTAAGGAGCCTTGTAAGGAGAGTTCACATCTCTTGACACTTTCCACTGACAAACTGACTTAAGAGTAAGTGTTTTGACAATGTTGATTTTAAATCTAGAATGCAACCACATTGGGGGGAAAATTTTTTACCTCCACATTTGGGTAGAGAACTCCTCTGGGAACTTGGCCATGAGATACTGGGAAACTTCTTTCATCAATGAGCATTTATCAAGATTTGAAAATCACAAGCTCTTACCTCCTGAAATTAATTCTTAAAAGGCGTACCTACATACTACATAACCTCTGGGAAGTGCTCATGGTAGTAAAAAAGAGCATGGACTTTGCAGTCAATGTATCTGAGTTTAAATCTTGCTTCGTGACTCGAGACTAAAGGCTCTTGTGACCAACTCCTAAAATGGACACCATTATCATCCTCACTGGGCTCTTGTGAAGACTTCCTGACACAACGCATACGATACTTGCGGCAGTTGGGCTGGCAACTGGTCAAGCACGCAGAAAATGTTAGTTTCTGTTCTTCCCTTTCTGTTTACTGGGGGGGAAAACAAAATGCAATACACAGTACTTAAGGAATTTACAGTAGAGCTGGTAAGGCAAAAGTCATGCCTACAAAAGACACAGCTATGCATAACTGAGTGAGATTAATACCCTGCCGACGGTACGAGTCACAGTGCTATAGGTGTAAAGAGAAAGCAATTATCACAGGTGGAGGTAGCAAGGCGAGGCTTCCTGGAAGAGGCAGAATTTGAGTCAGAGCTCTGAGAATGGGTGGGATGAGATGGACAGAGGTGGGCAGAGCCAGCCAATTCAGATAGATATTAAAGAAGTAAGTACTAAGAACACACAGGGCAGATTCTGATAAATGTGCACAGGCTGGTGTTGCTGGAAAAGCTTCTGTATACTGAAATAGCTAAACATTCAGTTTTTGGTAAATGGTAATGGGACTTTATAAGCTGAGCTAGAAAAGTGGCCTTCATCTTGTAGATAATGGAAAGCTGGGGAAGGTTTTTGAACAGGAAAGCGCATGGCCAAATAATATCTTCTAGAAAGCCCGCAAGCCTACAGCATTCACTGAAGTGTTACGAGCCGTGCTGCTGTGAAAAAAATCCCTTTCATTATACTAATACTTAGTAAATCACTGAAGACCTACTTCAGAACTCCAAGGAAAACATTTTATGAATCAAAAGCTAAGTACAATATGTTAGCAATTAAATGAGATAACATAATAGCCGAGGCAGAACCATGGTTTTCCCCACCACGATTTCAAGCTGCTGCAGAAAGAAATGCTTATATCATCTTCCAAGTTATCAAGCCATTTCGTTTTGATTTTCGAAAGGCGTGGAGAAAGGAAACGAGAAGAGTAAGTAGGTCAAGAGGATTCAAAGCTGTCTATTCTTTAATCAGAAGGAATTATTAAGGAGAGCTATAAAGGAGATTTGCTAAAGAAAAAAACAAAACCAAAAAAAAAAAAAAGAAATATATCCCCTGCCCTGAGATGGTGTTAGGTTACTAGCACTTGCTTCAACTGCAGAACAACAAATGAAGGTGTGCAGTTGGGAAAGAAAACTCCCTCCAACGCTGCTCTGTGGAGTTTCCGGTGCATACCTCCCACTGCTACTTTATTTACTGCAGCTGGCCAAAGTTTTATAGCCTGTTTCATGTATTAAAATTCAAATGTGGAAAACATTACCAGTATCCTCCTTGAATTTTTTTTTGTTGTTGTTGAGGGGGAAGGGGGGTGCGTTTTTTTTTTCTCTTCCCCTTCAACTTCCTTTTTATTGTGGAATGTATCAAATGGTCAAAGGCTAACTTCAGACTGACTAAATTCAAAAACTATTTCCTTTGTTCTTATGTTTTTGTTTGAAAATTCATACCAGTTTGCACAAGGAAAGAAATGGCAATCCAATCTAATTCACACACGTTATGGAGTTTCAGGCGGAAGAGCTCAGATTGTGCGGACCTGCTAAATATTTTTGAGAAGGAAGAGGGACTGCACAACCCCACTTTGTTTAAGGACAGCAGGTTGTCGCCGTGTCACATCTTTAAAGTGGCTTTCTTGTCTGGTGGGCTCTGCGGTTGCCCTTGATGGAGTTATAAATGTCTTCAGAGGAGCGGGCGAGAACTTCTCCTCATCAGCAAAACTAGTCACTTTATTGCTTCTGTGTACTTTTTCAAAATCAAAGACACTGGCTAATTATTTCCCTTTTACTGTTGCTCTGTTTCATTCTCTCTCTTTCCCCTCCACCTGGGTGAGCTGACTCTAGTCTCTTCCTCCTATCCCACCTCTGAATCAGACTCAAAGAGAAGGCAACTCAAAGGTCACACAGTTCCAAACAGCATCTATGTATAGTTTATTATTTTAAAGAACCGCTTAACCTACATCTGGTATTTAAGAGCAAACTTTACATATTTATGGAAAAAAAAAAAACCCCAGCTCTGAAGCAATGCCCTGGGTGCATGTTGCATCCGTTTAACATATGCAAAACGAACACAGCTACAGAAATTAAACTATTTTTCTCCTGATTGAGAGCAGATATACAGAAATGGTTATAAGTCACAGATCTGGCTTTTAATAAAGCCAGATTTCTTAATTAAAAGCAGTATTGTTTAAACATTGTAGCTCAAAAAAAAGAGCTGTACAAACTAAAATCTCATATTATATGCATCCCAAGTGTATTTAACACATTACCTGAGGCCAAGCTAAATTAAAATCTAGCTTTTCCTTTTGTTAACTCTTAGCAACTGCCATGAATAGACAAACAATTTCTACTCAATGATGAATTTTGGGGGTAGAGGTCAAGGAAAAGCAAAAAAGAAAAAAATGATTTAGCTTTGGCATTCAAAAATATCTTTCCACGTTTTAGAAGTGAGGTCATTGCTTCTATTTATAAACCAGTATTTTTGGTTTCAAATTGGTTGCAGGTTTCCATAGTACACCACTCAGGATGGTGCTCTTAGTCTCAGTCTTTTATTAAGGGGAGAAATTGAAAGGAGGGCAGAAGAGTACTATTGAGCAAGGAGCCTCCGAAGAACCTGTGCTTATTTTGCATTCTCCTTTTGGAATTATCTTTAAACAAGAGACACTTTAGGGATAACAGGAAAAAGGCCTTCATCCAAGAAACTTTGTAAGAGTCCGTAAGGTACAAAAGAGAACACTAAACTTTAAAAGGAGCTGATTTACACAGAATCACTGGCAATGTTAAATTCTCCAACCATTTGGACACCTCATTAATTGTCATCACTTAATATTTTATTAGGAAGATTCTCTGAATCTTCATAATCATCTCCAACAAGGATGCGCTCCCAAATCCTTACCAAAAATAGTGGGCAACACTGAAATTCCAACTGTAATAAGGACAAATCTGCTTACGGAGCATTCACATACAGCCCTATTTATAAGGAGGCAATGGTAAAACTACCATATACTTCAATTACACAGTCCCACTATGCAGTTTTACCTCCCATACCCAAAATCAAAAACATTCATTTGGTTTCTTTAATTAAAAAAAATTCAACCTATTCACCTCTGAAATGTCAGCAATGCACCATGAACATAAGCTGGTTGGGTCTTTTAGCTAAAGTCACCAAGATGAAGAATTTAAAACACCAGTAACGACCCAGCAATGCTCTCTTGGGTATGTGCTTAAGTGAAATGAAGACGTGTCCACACAAAAACCTGTACATGAATGTCCAGAGGAGCATTTTCATAATAGCCAGAGTGGGAATAACCCAAATATCCATCACCTGATGACCAGATAAAGGTAATGTATACAATTAAACATTGTTTGTCAATAAAAGTGAACGATGCTCTGATATATGGTAAAACATGCATAAACCTTGAAAACATCGTGCTAAGTTAAAGAAGCCAGTCAGAAAAGACCACCACATGTTGCATGAATCCATTTATAGGAAATGTGTAGACTAGGCAAACCTATATTAGATCAGTAGTTGCCAAAGGCTGGAGGGTGGGGGGCGGGGAGGCAGACGGGAGAGTGACCGCTAATGGCAAGGGGGATTTCTTTCCTTTCTGGAGGGGGCCGACGTGTTCTAAAATTAGACAGTGGCAATGGTTGCATAACCTTGTGAATATACTAAAACACAGTGAACTGTAAACCTTAAATGGGTGAATTTCATGATAAGTGAATTATATCTCAATTAAGCTATTTTAAAAAGATAAAAACAGCAGCACTAGTATTTATATTTGAAGGTCTAATTTTATATGATAACTACAGAGTCTACAAATCGTATCACTTACCATGAGTGAATGTCTGTTGGCTGAAAGAAGACCGGTTCCATACCCTGAGCCCAGACCACCCATCGCTCCATTATGAGAAGGTCCAATGATGCCATGCATGTCCCCATGGCCACCAGGCATAGCTGTGGATGGGCCCACTGCATGATTCCGGAGAACGTGAATAGCATCATCCAGTCTTTCTAAACGATCTTCAATTCGGCTTTGCTGTTGGTTAAAAAATGATGTGAAATTTAATGTAGTTTGAAATGTATGCATAGGTCACATAAGTAAAAATTGAGTTGACACAAACTACACTTTGAGTTTCTAAATATGTTTCCAATAGAGTTTATTTCCTTAAGATCATAATAAAAATAGTTTCCTTCCTAGACAATGGGTGAAAAATGTTCATGTTATAATTACAGTCTTATTTTTCATGAACAGAAACAACTCAGTAATTCTTCCAGGACATTCTAATGTACATATGCTAAACTATATATTGTGTTAGCTTGAAAGAGAATTTGGACTTACTTCAGAAAAGAAAAACATTTATTGAATTTAAATAAGATTCTGACACGCATTGGTTAAAAATTAAAAAAACTAACAATGGGAAGCCAATTAAGTTATCTTCTTGAAGGCAGTATTTCCTTGGTCTCCCGTGATACAGGATACAGTCCTAAGTATCAAGTCAGGGACAGGTAAATGCATATAGACAGTAATTTCTTGAGTACTATCAATTTTCACTTGCATTTCTTGCTTTCTATCTATTATCACCAGCTTGTGGGTGTGCATGTGTGTGTTTGTATAGAAGGGAATGGGGACTCAAAATGATTACAGAAAAAAATTACAATAATTCTGTCAATCAAAGTGGTATGAGATTTCAAGACTGAAGAATAACAAAAATTTGAATTAATGTTCACCAGGGGCTTCTGAATGATTTCAAAGTCGTTACTATAGTATAGAAATCACTCCCTTATACAAATAAAAACCAACAGAACTTCTTTTTTTTATTCCGGTCATTTTTGTTTGAAAATTCGTATCAGTTTGCATAAGGAAAGAAATGGCAATCCAATCTAATTCATACATGTTATTGAGTTTCAGGCGGAAGAGCTCGGATTCTGGGGACCCGTAAATATTTTTGAGAAGGAAGTGGGACTGCACAACCCCATTTGGTTTAAAGGACAGCAGGTTGTCACTGTGTCACATGTTTAAAGTGGCTCTCTTGTCTTGTGGACACAGGCCCTGGAATTTTTCTGCAACTAGATAAGGTCTATACTATAGTTTTTGGTAAAGAAAAGGGACATGTAGACGTGCCTTTGTTTTACTGTTTATTTTCAGTGTGATCAATAATGATATCAAATAAACAGCTGCATAGGAATCTCCAGTGTGCACTTTAACATATACCATTCCATTGGGTCCTCATTGTACATAAGTGAGGCAGGGAGTGAGGCAGGCAGGAAAGATGGTATTATCCCTGCCATATAGATGTGCAAATGAGACTCAAAGAAATTGAGTGAATTAATTAATCAGGGTCACATTGCCAGGAAATGGTAAAGTCAGGGTTGAAATCTAAGTCTTTTGACTTCAAATCTAATGCCTTTTTGTACTACATCATGCTACAATCCGCTTTGATTTCCAATGAGCTGTGCGAACAGATGTACTAGCTCTACTGTATGAGAAAAACAAGTTCAGATTATTCTATACTGACAGGAAGAATGTGTGTCTAATACAGTTAGCCTATGGTACAGAGCATTCTGATTTGGTGGGCTTTGGTGTTAGGGGACCTCCCCTAAACTCCTAGCTAGGCTACTAATGTGACCTTGGAAAAGTTATTAACATCTTTGAGTCTATGCTTCTTAATTTATGAAAATGGGAATGAATATATATGCACTTCCAAGTGCAAATGTAAGCATGAAAAGAAATAATACATGTGCCTCCCATCCCTTCTGGCTCACGGCTTCTGGGTGGAGAGAGCAGTTTGTGCTTGCGGATCCCCTCTTGAGTGCTGAGAATTCAGAGGAACTGAAGTAGTTCCCAACTATAGACCTAGCCTTTGCAATTTTACAGCTGGATTAAACCCAATTTTGATAGATGGGTCCAAGGGAATAACTGATGGCGGCCACCATTTAAAACAACTACGGGTCACCTGGACGGAGGCTGCAGATTCTTTGGGCCGGGCAGGCGGTGCATGCGCCATCTCACCCTGTCCTGCCCCTCAGTGGCGAAAATGCAGAGCTGGATGATTCACACACCACCGCGAGGAAGCGCACAAAAAAGGAGCAAACACATCTTTGTATTTTAACTTCTAGATTTTCCTTAATTTAAACAGTAAGCCAGAAGAGAAGGAAGGAGACCCTGAATGGCTGGCAAGACGACAGTAATTTAGATAGAGGGACAAATCTACATCTTCTTCCCTGGTCCATCTCAAACTATGGGGGGAAAAGGGAAAACAACATGAGAAGAGTGAAGAGCTCCTTGCTGCCACCCCACCCCATTTAATTCACGTACAGTCTAGACACTGCCCGGAGCAGTGGTGTTTCATGCCCCTACCACTCTTAGTTAAGAAAGCTGGGAGCATCAGACACTGAATCATCATGTACTTATAGAATTAATTAAACATGCAAATTTTCAGCTATCCCTTGCTGGAAAAGCAGAGATGCAATGATAATTATTAGACTTCTATGAGAACCAAAGTGAATGAGGAAATCGTTGATTTCTTATTCCAAGGTCAAGAGGAGAACTCCTGTAAACCTGTTATTCTGGAAAGCAGAGCAGGGATATATAGAATCTTCACCTGTTCCAGCTGCACTGCTTAGCTGGACCTTCAGCAGTTCATATTAGAGAAGTTATTTAATCATCAACAGGGATCTTTCCCTAAGATGGGAGGGAGCCAATATCCTTCCAGGATTTTTAATCTTTCACCTGGTCCCAGGTTTCAGAGCCCTGGGGCCTATACCGTATCTGAGTTACAATATGCAAACAGGACCAAACACAGCCTAAACTTGGAGGGTGAACTAGAGACAGAAAGAGAAACATGGTCCAAAAACGGATCGAGCAGAGGCTAGCAGATGAGACTTACCAAAGAGTGCAAGGGTCCTTCATAATTAGGAGATGACGAGGCCTGTCCTCCATTTCTAGACCAAACAGCTGTGCCTGCTGATATTAAAATGGAGATTACAATGCAATCGATGTAATCTTAAAAACAATCTTACCAACATGATAAACAGTTCTTTTAGAAATGGCAATGCTGACTTCCGTGTGGACTATAAGGTAAATACATGTAAACTTCCCATCCAAGAATTCCGGGGCAAGGAAAACATTTCAAATGTAAAACATGAAGACTTTACATACACTCAGCAGTCTCTCAGGTCTCCTTCTAACAGGGGGAGTTTTAGCTAGGGAGGTGTTCCTCGATAGAAAACCACCACTACAGAGTCAAGGTACTTCTCAGAGTGCCAAGGGGGGCTCTTGTTACATCTTCATGCAAGGCCAGTTTGTTAAACCAAAATTCTCTCACCAATGAAAAACAGCTTTGCTACTTGTTATTAAAATGATCCTTGAGAAGGAATAAGCCTTCAGAAACTTTTTAAGAAAATAAAGTTAGTTGGCAGTGATCCACAAAACTAGAAATTTAAAAACTCGATATAACAATGGTAATAAGTAGTTCTTCCGAAGTTCTTTTATGATTCACCAAACTTGCAGGTAAAGAAAGATTCCTGCTCTAATAAATATTACGTGTCTAATCTCCTACTTTTAAGTTTAAAATAATACAAACTCAGTATAGAAAATAAATAATTCAAGCTTTCTCCCTCAAATCTCATGCCCCAACACAGTTATCACTTTAAATATTCATTCTTCCTGTCATTTCTGGGTGTACATGTATTTTTATGCTGAATAAAAATAGAATATTGTGTTCAATTACTTTTAGTGACAGAATCTGGACAGAGCTATCAGTGTGAAAATAGTAATCTGTCCCCATATTTACATCTTCATAGAGTTCTTCCTTGCTAATGTGTGGTCTTTAACTATGAATTACTAGGACCCCAAAGTGGCCTTGTTCCCATGTCTTCCACGGAGAACATACTACTCAGGTTTAGGTTATTCGGGGAGTTTTCTGGAATGATTTGTGCATAATGTCCCACTCTCGTGATGAGCCTAGGGGTGGGGTGGCAGAATGGTGAGCAATGAATCTGTCTGAGCTCCCACATTGTTACAGATGTAACCTCAACAAGTCCCGTGCCCTTCCTGGGCCTTGTACACTCATCTGTAAAAGCAGAGCATTAGACTAAAATACCGTATTTTGCTGTGTATACTGCACACCCATGTTTCTGTGTGCATTATACGCGGGATTATCCTACCCATTCTTATACCTATGGTATGTAATCATTATACCCATGTATAAAGTGCATCCTTATTTTTCCCTCAAAAATTTGGGAAAACAAGGGCACATTATACACAACAAAATACAGTAGTTGTTCTCATGCTTTATTAGACTCCAGAATTGTTTTTCCAAATTATAAAATAGACAAAATTAAGAGTTGTTTTGCTCAAAACGGGGAACTTGGAGTTCTCCCTGCTCTCTTGCCTCATTGCGAACCTCGCTGGAGCAGATGCTGTCTCGGTCCTTTCCTGGTGCTGGACAGGGAGGCCTGCGATCATTTTCCAGAGCCTAACAATATGGTATTGAACCTAACGACTCTGGACTTTCCTTTTTTTGTCACTGGGGATGTTTCATCACTGTTCCATTATCCTCTTAATATCATCTGTTTCTTTCCAGTTTCAACTTTGTCCCTCTGGACATTGAACTTAAATGCCCGGCTACCCGCTTCCATTCGGTCAATGGAGGCTGGACCAGCCGATAGTAAACCCCACCTAAGCCACGGCCATTGCCGCAGACAGCTCTGCGGCAGTCTGAGACCTCCCGTGCTCCACCAGGGAAGCCAGGCCGCAATGGGCCATGTGAGTGCCGCACACAGAGAATACTATAAGGATGGAGGGGCGACATTTAGGCAAGTGACTCCACTATAAATTACAGTTAAGGTCAGGTTTCAATCAGGTACAGATGTGATTTAGTTTTGCTTTAGAAGCCACCTGTCCTCTTTCCAAAGAGCAGAGAAACGGGCCCCAGACAGGGCCCTCTGGAAGCATTTATATTGGAAGGGCAATGAGCCTTCTAAATGGACCTCTGAGAAGTGAAATGCTTTACTAACATAATTTAAGAACTTACAATTTTATTATTTGAAGCCATAGGTCATATAATTTGTTATTTTTAAAGGCAAACATCCCCTTTTACTCCACATACTTGCTTCACAATTTATTTTCAAGATTACAGTTTTCCTCAAACATCCTAATGACACGGACTTCAAAGAGAAAATTTGGAAAGTCTAAAATTTCTGATGGAAATGATCCTTTTGAATAATCTATCTTTGATGAGTGTATAATCATATTCATGACTACATTCACTGCCTTTTCTCATCTGAGACATCTTATTGGAGTATGTTATTCAACTGAGTGTCTTCTAGAGAGCTATGGAAAGCTTAAGAAATAAGTTTTCTATATGTCTGTGTATTTTAAAAACATCTAATTTTTAAAATTTTTTATTTATTTTATTTCTAGAGAGGGGGAGGGAGATAGAAAGAGAGGAAAACATCAATGTGTGGTTGTCTTTCGCGTGCACCCTACTGGGCACCTGGCCTGCAACCCAGGCACGTGCCCTGACTGGGAATCGAACCTGTGACCCTTCGGTTTGCAGGTCAGCACTCACTCCACTGAGCCACACCAGGCAGGGCTAAAAACATCTAATTTTTAAGAAAAATGCTGGGTGTAAATGGCTGTACCTTGCATGGTAGTCTGTCTTTCCCACTCCTTTCTATTTGTCTGTTTGGAAATTATGTATTGAGCTTTAGGAGGGGGTGAGTTCCCACATCCTAGAGCAGGGAGACTAAAAGGGCAACCACTCTCCCTAGCTGGCAGGGTGAGGGCACGGGAGTCAGCACAGTACCTGAGAGAGAAGGAGGAGAGCCAACAGGAGTTGAAGGGTTTGATGAAAAGCTGTTGTTAGTGTGATCTGGAGAATAGATCTTAAAACAATGGGGAGAAAAGAAAACAAATCCTCCTTATTAGGACCAAATAATCAACAATTTTGTAAATTACAAAGTGTCAATGCAATTCATTTGAAAATTACATTACAATATAGTCACTTTAATTTTTCAAAATCAGAATAATTGAGGTAATAGGAGACCTCGGAGAAGGACTAGTCTGGACATCGGCAGACCTGAGTTCTAGTGCTCTACGCCTGCCCCCCGCCCCCGCCTCTCCTCCAGTGGCTGCGTGGCTGTTGGCGAGCCACAGAGATACACCGCAACTCCCTTTCCCTCCCCAAAACGGGTCAGACCACACCATCTCTCAGACTGTTGCCCAACTCCTTCACCATGATTAAGGCATTTGATTCCAAGATATAAAAATATTTAGATTAAATAAACTTTTACTTGGTCAAAATGCTGATATAAGTCAAACATATTTCATGCTCCTGATGATAAGGAAAAAACTAACTGAAGAGATAAAAAATTAGAGCAACGAATCTCCACTTACATTTGCAAACGACCATGTTTACCTTTTGAAGACAACACCAAGTATACTCCCTCACACAAATAAGGTGTGTCATATGTCACCAGTAAATATGCAGGACATGGTTAAGTTTAGCCTCTTGGCAGTGGGCAGTAAAAGAAGAAAAGGTGAGTCCCCAGGTGCCAAAACACATGACAATTTCTCATGGACCTCAGTAACGGTCTTTTGTTTTTTTAACGCCTTTTCCAAAGTGTGTTAGAATCACTGCTTGCAAAGTCAGTCTTAGTGGGTCATTGAGCACCCACATGACTTTAGAGAAAAATGATAACTCAAAATGGAAAATCTATACACCTAACAGCCCTGAGAATATCCATGAATCCATAGTTCAGTAGCATTGGTACCGCTGTGAGGAGACAAGATGGAAGAGACCAGCCATGCACTGTAGGAAATTATGCATGAAAGCTAGCATTTCCAAAATCAAAGCTGTCTGCCATTCATTTTTCTAAAATTCCAAATGTCCACATCTGATTAAAGTTCAGCCTTCTAATACAATGCCACACATAAAGTCCAAAGTCAATATTTCCTCACCGAGGCGAGTGCTTTCCCCAGAGCGTCTCCAGTCTGGGAGCTGCCTGCTGCCCCGCTTCCTCTATTTGCTGCAAAAACAAAAGGCAGAATATGAAAAACTAGGCAGTGAGACGTCTAACAATTTTCTATTCCTGGTCCATTTACTCACAACTTAATTGCATTTTTAATGCTAATTATGACACATTAATCTTTAATTAGCATTAATTTGTTTGCTGAGGTAGATGTCAAATATATTCATGTTACATTTTTTACAGATAAAATATAAACCTGACACCTTGGTTTAAAGATAAAGTGTTTTAGTTGCTATTACCTTCCACCTTACTTAAGAGTAGTTGGTGGGGAATGATAGTTCGCTGCTAAGAAGTATACAGTGCTTTCAGGTCTCTGAAGTTCTCAAAGTTTGGCTTTTTAAAATATTTTAGATAGCCAATTAAAGTCTCCTCATGCATAATTTACATCTTTTAAATTAAAAAAAAATGATACCTCACAAAACGAGGCTCTGCTCTAAGAGTTCCCCAAGCATACAAAATAAGATCAAGAACTACAACAGGCCTAGCTTTCCAGGAGAAAATATTTTTAATATTTATATAACATACTGTCCATGTATTTAAGTCAAATTAAAAAAAATTGAACTGTTATGCTTCTAAAATTCAATAGGGTCTCAAATTCTGGAGACAAAATTAGTCCACATAATCACGAAGCTGTATCTCCATCTTAAATACTGGTATTTTTATCTACAAAATAAATGTTGAACAAAGAGCACTATTAATAAAAAGACATAGATTCTAGTATATAAATCAAAGCCAGCTCTATTTAGAAGGTGTGTTCTGAAGGTAATTTGCCTTGATAAAGTGGTACAGCTGCTGTTCTTTTAAGGTCTTCAGTATCAACACAATGCATATATGCGGTATATTACATTTATTAGGGTCTCACCATTAGCAAGTTGGCAAAGTATTGAAATAAAGCCTATTAAACTCCAGGCAAAGGTATTTTTCAATATTTCGTGAAATAAGAGAAAGAACTCTTGAAGCCACCGATTAATCCAAGCAAAACTTGATTACACAAATACATTTTTAAAAATTTGCAGCCCTATCCTTGACCCAAGAGAACAGCCTTTCTGGTAAATGTGTCCTCAACTTCCAGACCTGTGAAGTGGAGGAGAGGTCAGATCTCAAGTGGTCAAATTCTCTGCTTCTCTGGGCTATAATTTCACTCTCTTGACCTCTGCTTAGCACAGAGGAATTAAGCTTGCTATTTTTATATATTTGCACGTTGGGTATGTCAGTTAGATAATCTTTTGATGTGTATTTTATTTGGTTAACAAAACCCATACCTATATTCATGTATTACTAAAACTGAAAGAATACTGGTGTATGTTTAAAAAAAACACAATTACCTTTGGACAAGACATTCTTTTCATATCACAAATTAACATTTAATATTTATCATTATGAAGTAGCTGATGTGCTAAAAGAAGTGAAGCTATAATGAGTAATTTTGAAATTTTAAATTAAAAGGTCTGTCTCTGCATTGATTATTAGACTAGGGGTTATATGCAGAAGGAAATTGCTTGAAATGAGGTTCTGACAGCATACTGAGCTAGTAGAAGAAACTCCCAGATATCAAGAGTATTAAAAATATTTAGTATAAGAGATACATGAAATTTTATCTGGTGTGAAAATTATAATTGCTGTATTAAGGAGATTTTTTGTTTTTTAAATAAGGACAATTCTAAACAGGAAAAAAAGATTTTGAAAATACAGAAAGCACTAACATTTCTTCAGCTTGTATTTTGGGGCAATTTTATACACAAATTTTTATAGAAGTAACATTATCATATATACCTAAAAGTTAGATTTATTAGTCAAAACAACTTGTGATATCTGCTTGATTAGAAAACAGATCTTCATGATATGTAAGTTCACAGCTACAGCGGAAAAACTATATTACTAATAAAGAACTGAAACCCAGAATAGGACAAGTTCAATTACAGATAAAATTTGCTACCACAGCGTCTTTCGAGAGGTTAATTCTTCCTTTGAACAATGTTAAAATGAAGATAGTGTTTAAAACTATTTTTTCATGAAACCAAAGAGATAGGATTGAAAACCAATACAAATATTTTAGAAACATTAAACAAGTTTATTATATATAGCATAAAAAATCATACTTTACAAGAAACAGGATATGATCATTATAAGCACTTTCATGTTGAACTTTGTATTAAGTGCCTGCTATGTAGAAGAAGATATTAGGACTTAGGAAGGAGAATAAAAAATAGAATCAACTCCTCAGCTCATGTTATCATAAACATGACTCAGAAAACTAACTCGTGGGCGCCACTCTTAAAAACAGGCTATTTTTTAACATGAAGCCATTCTACCTGCAGCAGCCGGAGAGCCAAACCCAGGGGCTTAAATTTCAAAGCAGTTTACTGGGGCCGGTTTGCCCTTTCGCTTGGAATGCCTTTTGTTCTGTTCCAGGAAACTTGGGGAAGACACATTTTCAAGAATCCCTCAATATGTCAAGCTACATGGGTCCTTGTGTTAAAGAGTTCTCTTTTTATTTGTGTGACTGATATGTCAAAGGGCATAAATAATCAGGAAGTGAATATATTATTAATTCTCAAAGGTATAATTTCTCTTTTATTGAGGAATGTGTCATGTTTAGCAAAACGCATTTATAATTAAACTTTGTGTTCATCAAGTCCGTCTTTGTGGCTTCCATGTAATGGGACGAGACTACTACTCCAGGCCGAATTTTCTGTCAACTCCTTATATTAGCAATTATCCATGTGCCCATAACAGAAATAAAGATAAAAACTATTGCCTGTATTTGGTAAAGCTGGATTGACTGATTTCTTACATTATTTTAACTCTAATCAATTTCTCTTGCTCAAGAGAAAAAATAATCAGTCTCTAAGTGGGGCTGTAAAATCAGCAGGAGTATAAGATGAGCAGAGACTAAGAGGAACTGTGATTCTGCAGGGCACTTGGCACCGCCAGCCACCCGAGCAGTGCTCAGGTGGCCTGAGCCCAGGGGCCGCTGCTGGCTAGAGGACGGGGCAGGAACAAAGGGTTTGGTGTGTTGGGCTGCACACTGGACCGCCCTGGGGCTCCAGCTCGGCTCTGGGGAAACGGCAGTTCCCACTAGAACACACCCTAGTCAGAACACCAGTGTGAACGGTGCCTGGGGGTCGACTGCTGAAATCAAAATTCGGAAAATATGTTGACCCCTCATTGCACACCCATAACCTTAGGCTGGGAACACCATGGAGATATAAAAGGAACTAGAAGTGTAATTACAGTGTATCTGCCTGAAAGAAGATGACTGCTTTGACATTTTATTGAATTTATTAAATTATTAGAAGAAGCATAACAATGCCATGAGTTTGTCTGTAAAAATGACGAAAGGAGGAGTCCTCTCTAGCACTCCTGCTATATATGCTTTTAGAATTAAAACTCCAATATAAGCGGCAATGTATTAATTTTCAGCAAGAGTCATTTCTAGGAATTCACAGGGAAAGCTGGGCCCCATGGCCTTGTGCAGGAAATGGACCAGAAGACTTAAATCAAACCAGCCTATTGTTTTCCGTCGCTGGTCTTTGTAACCATGATGCCAGGACATCGCTGGATAAAATTCACACACTCTTATGCTCTGTGCCTGTCTGTCACCCAACTGCACTGGAAGGCTCAAGATCCTTCTAAAAGGCAAAGTGAATCTTATGTGACGACGCTCATAATAAAATTACTGAGAAACTAAGCCCTCAAAGGAAAATGGACACGTTTCTGCTAGGAAAGCCACACACTCAAGTGCATCATGTATACAAACATGTCATTAGAAGTGAAAGCTGTAAGCCAGATTAATTCATGAACCAGATAGATATTCCAGGGTAATCTTTAGCATATGTTGTATTAAATCCATCTTGGTAGTCTATTTCTTCCACACTGGTTTGAGGTTAAAAACATGAGAAATGCCATGTATTAGAAAGCAGACTAAAGACTACAATAAAACAGTAATAGTTTGTATAACCATTATGCTAGTTGTACGCTCTATTCCCTCTTAGGGGAAGGGAGGGTGTACAGCTCCAAACCGCAAGAGGTCACACCCTGGGAAGGTGTATGAATGGTGTCTTTCACCAGGGCACTGAGGCACTCTCCTCCCTGCTACTCTTAGGGGGCTGTGCAAGGTAGGCACTGTCTCAATGCTTTTGGTCAGCAAGGACTATGGCATATTGCAGGTAGGAAGGAAATATGTACATAACAAAGTGTATATGGTTAATACCATCTAGACATTTCTATCCTCTGTAGCTGGTATCTAATAACTTGCTACACTTCCTTTTCTGTTTGCAAGGTCACTCGTATGTAGAGAAGTTGGATTCTACTGCTTCTCAGATACACCCAGCAGTATAATGTTGGAAGGGTCTAGGAATAATGTTTGGAGGGCTCTGACAGTGGAAATCCTGAAGCCCCCAGACTTAGCTTCTCCCCTTAACTGGGTGCGCTACATCAGTTAAACTACTATGAATCCATGCTGTGTCCCATGCATTATATTCACATAATTCTAGGGTGCTTAAAAGTTCCCTGCAATTCAGAAATGTCTAATGCAGTCTCCAGAGTTTGCTGGCAAGGCTTCAAAGAAAGGCAGTGAATTGTGTGTAATAAGTAAAATATTGTACTCTATAATTCTCTCAAAAAATCCACGGATCGATGTGCCATTAAAAAAAATCCATCATTAATAAAACATGAGTAAGCTTTACCCTTCTTCACGGTTTCTCAGAAATGATACTGGAAATTAACAGGCAAAAAACAAAAACCCAGACACAAATGGTCATTCCTCCAAACCAAGCACAAGCCATCCCAGACCTCGGCAAGCATTTTGAGATGCAGAGAAGAGGAGCAGAGGAGAGGGGGCCTGTTCTAGAGAGGTTCCTTTCAGAGAGTTCTAGAGCTCACATCTCACCCCACACGCATTTTCTTTTCCTATGATCTGTTCAGGCAATCGTTGACCACCAGGAAGACACATTATAACATGAAACCGAGAAATGGGGCAATGATCTTTTGAACTGAAAAAGCAGCTTCCTAAAACATCCATGTTGTTTATGTAAAGACTGTACTGCCTTGCAACTTTACACCAAGGAAACTTGAAAAATATGATGTCCATGTGTTAGCGCTTGAACCCCATTCTTACGGCATTAGTATTGCTTATAGCCATTTTCTACAGAATCATGTGTGTAATCTTAAACATGTGTCAGGCTATGTGTTCCCTATTTACCAATTATTTAATTAGCTCTGTTTGTTCTTTGCGATACAGGCAATGTACTATTTCTTTATTTCCTGCATTTCAGAATGAGTGAGTATATGCCAAATATTTTCAAGTCTACAGATGTATTCTATTAATCCATACTGTTTGTTAGGGAAGAATTACTAACAGAAAAGAATTCTCTTCTTCTTATGCAGACATGCTGCTGTCCCCCGACTTCGATCTCACTCTGAAAATTAAGCCAAAGCCTAAGAGAATTAAAAGTGCAAAGAAACTTGAGCCACTTGGATACTGTGCAACACTAAAGCTTATTATCATATCTAAATTTTCCTCTGCATTTTAATTGAAGGAATCAGGGGACATATTTTAAGGGAGTAATCCTAGAGTAATAACTGTATTTATGCAAGTTAATAAAGGTCTGTTCTCCCAAAAAGCTGAATGGCCATGTCTACTTACTTCTTAAAAAGATGATAAAGCCTTCTCGCATTCTAGATTTGACAAATACACCCATGATTATGGAATAATTTATGTAATAATGTTTTTCCTAAAACAATTCCTTTCCTGGGTTCCAAAAACTCACACTTTTCCCTTCTGAAATGGTAGCTTCCCTATTATTATCTAAACCCTCCCTTCCCTTAACCAGGGCCTTCCAGTCTGTAACAAGTTAAACTCATCTTTAACCTATAGCTTCGCCCTGCTCAGGCCAAGTGTAGCTAAGCAGACATTCCTGTTCATCTATTAGCTAAAGTGGAGCCAACCAACTTAACTACAGCAAATCCCATTCCCACTGATTTCATGGCTGCGCTACTTACGGCTCATGGAAAACCATTACACCATCCATAAACTCTCTTTCTTCCCAAGTCTAGTGTCTGTCTCCTAGGAAGACTGTTTTGCAAATCAATTAACACAACTTTTTTTTTTTAAACAGTGCCTAAGTATGTTTTCCCGAACTCAAGCTTTTGCTCCACCTTTATACCTTCCTAAAAAAGAAACTTAGTCAAACCACAAGTAGACAGGAAATCTGCCATGTAAGAGGATGAATGACCGGTCACCCCTCTTCATAACTAGACCTCATGACTGCAGAAAGGGGCTTTCCATTTGCCAAACCACATTGAAGTGAAATATGCTTTTCTCACTCTTTCAGTTCTGCACTTCTTTCTTCTTGTTTTTCAAATCTGCCAAAACTGCATTGATAGCTACAAAACTTCCCCCATGTGACCTCTGTCCACAGCCCTCCAAGGTCAAACTGATGCAACATATTTGTAGAAGCTTTGTTACAAAAATGGAAACTCCTAAATTTGCTTCTTAATAAGACATGATAGTGAAGGGCTGCTAGATGGCTCATCTCAAGTGTGAAATACATTATTGAATAAAACAGGGAGGGCATTATTTAGTCAGGATTATATTTGCAGCATTTCAAAATTCATTTTTATCAAAAACTTTCCCACATAAGTGATTCATACTACTTTCCCAAGTTCTACACACTAGAGAAAATGATTCTGTCACACATTCTTCTCTCTAAAACATATAGAGTGTTCTTCTCATCAGTGACCCGATGGTCATCTGACAGCCCAGCAAGGGATGGGTCTGAGCTAGAACCAAAGCGTTGGTGGTCAGCGAAGTCTTTAGTTCACTTGGCTTGTTGAGATATGAGAGGCAAGGTGGTTTTGGTGTATGTAAACCCTTGTTCAATCTAATTTCAATAGATAAAGTAGCCAAATTTCAGTTTCTTGTGGGGGAAAAAAATGTGATTATGGTCAAGCCAAGGACTACTTCTGTTTGGTTCATTTGTTCGTTCATTCAGTTATATGACAAACATTCATTGCCTGACTGCTCTTCAATTATGAGGCGAAGAAAGAGGTCTTTCATTATTAATCCTGACACTGATTGCCGGCATCGCAATCAGCACTTCCGAGACTCACCCATGATGCCGTCCGTCCCGTTGGCAGGAGGCGTGCAGGAAGAGGTGCTGTAATGGTTGGTGCCGCTGCGGTGGAACGTGGACATTGGAGGGAGACTGGAGTTGATGTCTGCTGAGGAGTGTGATGGGTAGCTCTGTGGCAAGAGGCAGAGAAAGGACATTCTCAACCGTAAAAAATTTAGTGCATTAGTTTTTAAATACTTCTTTCAGAACTCTCCATTCTGCAATAGAGAAAGCCCTTAGCCTTTCAAAATATCCAAGAATACATCTTGCTCAGATCTGACATCTTCCATTTTTCAAATAATAAAATAAAAAACCAAACAAACATTGGGTTTGCATCAAATATAGGGGAATATAATGGCAACGTAGGACACTGAGAAATGACTACTGACTACAATCTCTAATTCTGAAAATTACTGCTTAAAAGCATCCCTGTGGCTTCAGCGGCATCATAGAGCATTGCTACTATTATTTTTTTGTACAGCCTATTGATCAAGTAAGACTCTATGATATAATGAATAAAACAACATCGTGGCCCACAGGGTTTACATTACAGTTCATCCTGACCTTCTGGACATGAAATGGCAAAGAGTAACCAGTCTCAGCTCTTTTTCCTGCTAAATTGGATCATCTTTCTGAACTCCAGTGAGAACAAAATGGTAAATAAAAAACTTAAAAAGTCCTAATGATTAGATACAAATATGTCTCCAAAGTATCAACATGTAAAGCCTTAACTCAATGACGACACTGAATTGAACCAGAACAAATGAACAGAGAATAACTATTTGACTTCTTACTTCATATGTCCTCTCTACTACCAATCTACCATATCACTGACTGTGAGAGAAGGTTATCATTACAGAATCATTTGGTTTAAGGCTTGGCTTTGAGTTCAATTATTATACCAGTTGTCCAAGTAAACTGCTTTCCTTGGGGCATATCACAGTGCCTGCAAGGTTGGCAAATTAGGTGCTACTCCATCTGCTTGGAGATGAGATTACTAGGAGGGTCATAGTAATTTACAGAAAAACATGAAGCTATTTTCCCACTCAAGATAGTAAGAACAACTTTAAAAAGCTCTTCTAATAGCCATCTGAATGTGTTAACAGACATGTAATGGAAAACATTTAAGCTAAACTAGGCTTTTTCCTTATACGTATTATATTAATGGGCTATGGTTCTTTATTATATGATTACTGGATAGTCTGTTAATACTGTTCAATATAAAATTGAGACTGGATATGATGCTCGTAGGCAGAGGTTCTTAAAAGTCCAGGTGTCTTGGTATTTTCTTTTATTCTAAGAGGCCCATCTTAGGTTCTACCTCCTCCTTGATGATTCTTTACTACTTCTAATTCTTCCAGGATCTCTTGCCTCTGAATTCCTAAAGAACTTACATTCTGTACTGTGCCATGTAATAGCTATATGTTGCCTTTCTTTGCTGTCTCTTTCAAATGCATCTCCATCTATACCATAAGCTCATTAAACAGAAGGAAAAGAGCTTATACCTCTGCATCCTACAACTTACTGCTGAGTGCGGAACCCATGATTATCGCATCCGCTCCATGAACAACTGGTTACCCACTAGCATTTAATAAAGAGTAGACTGAAATGATAGTTATTTGAGAGATAACCAGAAAAGTCTATAAAATGGAACTATATTTCAGAGCCAAGTCTGCCACTACCATGCCTTTGAAAATATTACTTCCGCACTCTGAAAACAGTCCAAATGAAAGGTCAACTCCAGTGAAAAAGTTGACATGCTGCCCTTAAACCTTTCCAAGTTCCCAGAAATGCCTTTCAAATTTTTTAATTTCATGGACCTCTTTGTTTGACCAAAAAATTCCTTAGGCCACCTGTTAAGCTCATTTCTATTTGCTACTTAAAGAATACCCCAAGGAGTCCATGAAATTTCCTCCAAAGAATGAAAGAGTAAGGTTATTCCATAATAAAGCTCATCTGAAACTCTGAACAAGCCACAAGACACCAAACTTAGAAGAGCTATTTCTTCTCAAGAGCTAAAGACTATAATAAAGTAGATTAAGAGAAACAGAATAAGGAAAAAAGAAAACTAAAAGAAAAAGAGATGGTTTCAGTTCTGTTTCATGCTGAGTTTCTGAAGAATTGAGAAACTTTATAAGTCAGTCCTAACTATGCAAAATTCAAATACAGAAAAAATTATAAAAACTGTTTTAAATAACTATTAATAAATATAGAATGAAACAGAAAAATGATTATTTTTATCAGTGAGAATTTTTAAATCCCTTAAAGTTGGTATAAAATGGGCAGTAATTCGGGATTTGATAAAGGGTTAATACTGAGTTCTTAGACTAAAAAGTAAAGTTCTTTCCCATAGACTTTAATGAGGAAACCAACACAATTCACCTAAATCAGTTATTTTTTTAGAGACTCATAGAAAATAAGATGCTGAAAGGAATTAATGAGATTTACATCTAGATTATTTTACGAAGAAAAGTATCTTGAAAAGTACTGTCACTCAAAGTCATAGTAAATACACCATGGAGAATATTACTGATGTGTGAAAAATGTCTCTTTTAGAGTATTCAGGGATCAAATATAAAAGGTCCCTTTAGTCTCTCTTAGTCCAGCTACAAATTCTGTCTGCCCGGTTCATTACAAAGCAAAAGGGGAAGTATGATACAGTGTTATGGCCTTATCTGCCCACTATTTATTTATTTTTACACATAGCAGCCAATGATACTGTATTTGGAGTCTGTCTGACAGAGTAAGTGTTGAAAATGTTTCCATTAGTGATGTTTTTTATCAACCTATGGGTTGAGGATTCAAAGGTTGGAAACTATAATAATTGGCAGCACATATTAAGAATAAAATCAGGCTTCAGGCTATGGCAGGGTTTCATGACCTTGGCACTACTGATCCCTTGCGCCAGGTATCTTTTTACTGTGGGAGGCTCTCCTGTGCACTGTAGTCTTTTTACCAGCATCCCTCGCCTCTATATATTAGCTTCCAGTTGCAACTAACCCCAGACATTTCCAAAGGTTCTTTGAGGGGCAGAATCATACCCGGCTGAAAATTAGAGGGGTAAGGGTTTATGTTACAAAAATAAATAAAAGACAACAGAACTTCCTTTATATTAAAATTCCAGACTCCTCAGACTATTTTACTCTGTAGAGTAAAGACCAGGCCTACACCAGGCCAGACAGCAAGGACTCTATCCTATTTTTAAAAAGAACTCTGCCAAGTCATTCCAAACTTAAATCTTCGACCACACCATTCCAAAGCTTAACCACGAACTACATTCTTCTGAATATACACTCGTGACATAGCAGAGATTAGCTGTGGGATTTTGTTGTAGAGGCTGAAACTGTAAAGGGAATTTAGAGCATCAAAATTGGAGACTTGACAGTTGCCACTGAAATGTGTGGATTTCAAGCTTTATAATTACACATTCTATTATAACATGGTATAAAGGGAAGTGACAATAAAGTTTCTAAAAGGTTTTACCTTTAGAGACAATATGAATTTGGCCATATCATACCCAAAATAATACAAGGAAAGCTCTCTTCTTTTTCTGAAACTGTTTCTTTGTTCTGTATGGCACTGGTCAAAAGCCATGGGAGAACATTATAAGGAAACTACCATTATTTTCAAGTGAAAGGACACTAACTGCCTAATATTACTCTCAATCACCTGTCAGATTTTTAAATGTCACTTCAAAATATTTCCGAATGGTTACTGAAATTACAATGATTACTTGATATAATAATTCAACAGTTTCCCTATCAATGAGGAAGTTCATTAGGATACACTGCCAGAAACTCAATTCATTCAGTCTTTTTAAAAAATAAAACCCCTAATCTCTGAGATCTGCTAAGTGATCATGTTAAGAATGAAAACCCTGTATTTTGTTATGGATAAGAGGCAGCACAAATACAGCAGCTGATGTAATTTCCTGGGTTACTCCCTTCCAAGTAATCTTTCTTCTTGGTTGACAGTATCATTTTAGATTCAGCAAAGCTTTTTCGAAATGTGTTGGTTTCCTTTATAAAGTCACAGTTTTATGCATTTGAACATATTTTAAAGATACCTTCCTTGTGCAGTATATATGGGATAAAAACAACCTACCTAAATTAAAATTCTAGAGCATGATAGGGAAAGAAAAAAGAAATTTAGAAGAAAAATAAGTGTCAGATGGACAACTTTTGAAAGGACTGAAATTCCAATATATTAGCATAATGCCAAAATCTTTTATGTGTAATCAAAACTTGCCCTGTGCATAGGACACCTGTACATTTGATCATGAGTTCCTTAGAGAAGTGGAAAATGATGATGGAGAAATAACACTGTGAGCCAAGAAGAAATTCTAGTACAATAACAGTGATATTTCTCTAAGCTTTCACTCTAATGCCTCCAAGTAGGAGGTGGGAGAAGAGGATATTTGAAAGTAAATAATCTGCTATTTACTGAAAATGTGCTGAAATTTGAGGTAGTTTGTGATTTACACATTCCAACTTATGAGATGATACAGAAAGGTCAATTCCATCTTCTTTGTTCGTCTCTCATTAATGGACAGGTTAACTGACCACACAGTGTCTCTGTCACTAGGACAAATAAATAGTTATTCTCAAGGATTTCAGGAATCTTAACGTCTGGGATGTTTTGGGTTGTTAGATTAGGATATGAGTCTATACCTTTTCTCTATCTCTAGTGGTAGAGCAAAAGAGAAGACAGACCACAGAAATCTAGAAAGTGCTATATCCTATATCAGAACAGAGAAAGATACATAAATCTAGGCATTAGAAAAAAAGGGCAACTTAAAAGATGAAGAGAAATGATATAAATACCATTCATTATAAGTGGACTTGCCATACTCTTTTCCATTTGTAGGATTAGATAGCCACACATTTTTAAAGCTATGTTACTGCATAAGGGACTCAGTCCCACCCCATCTGCATGATCTAGAAGTAAGTACTCATTCCTCTGTTTAATGACAGACTTGAATTCGTAAGTGGCTTCTTGGCTGTGGTTGTTTTTGTGGCTAGAAAAATACCAGGTGAGTTGCTTCCTCTGGGATAAAGAGCAATACTACAATGGATAAGTGCAGGTGATGGGCAGAGTGGAAACTTTAGTAAAAAAAAGAAAAAAAGAAAAAAAAGGGTAAGGGGAACACTCTATAGCAGTTTTCAGCTGGAGTTGGAACAAGGCAAAACAGAGTGTCAGTCGGAGACTGGGGGGTGTGGAATTAAAGCTAAAATACAGAAATTGTGGAATCTGCTCTATACAGAAATCCCATGGTTGCTGTTACTGATGGGACTGTGTAGAAAAATGAACTCTTTCCTCCCAGTGCAACACAACAGGTCCAAGCTGTCTCCAGTGACAGGAGCCGGTCAAGGGCAAATGGAAATGCCCTTGGCGTGATCTATCACCTAGCCGCATAGTCTACTGACTGTCACTCTGCCCCCTAAAGTATATCCTTCAAACTACAGAGAGCAAAAAAAAAAAGGACAGCCATAGCCGAACTCTGCAACTCAAACACAGTGTGTATTTATGGAACAAAGGAAGCTGACATTGTGATAAACAAAGCACAGAACAAAACAGAATTAACAGAACAATGACAAAGAGAATCCAAAAGGGCTTACAAAGGTGATCTGATTCCATTACACCTTTGATCACAAAGCGATACAACTGTAAGGATAACGGGTGTGGACCCATTTTGCCAGCATTTACCGAGTCCTTGAGCACAGGCACGGAAAGACAGAGGATGAGATTTAATCACCTGGCTGTTTTTATCCCCGTTACCACGTAAGTCTGCCTTACCAAACGTTCGTGCGGATGCAGGCTGCAGTAGCTGCTAGACTGCGGAATGTGAGAAGAATTGCTCAACATCCCCCCGTAGCCAGGCTGATTCATCCCACTGGAGGAGCTCCAAGGGTCACTGCTGTGATGGCCATCTGTAAAGGACAAAGAAAACGATGACTTCTGAGGCATTCAGCTTTGCCGTATAGCAAATTTTTTCGTATACTTGAAAATGACCATCTCTTCTGCATTCGGCTTTGTGCTGGTTAGCTGGGTACATCAGAAGACAGTCATCGTGTTTTCCCAAATGACTCTACACTGCCAAACAAACATACATATTTAACATAGTAAAGCGTTCTTAGTAAAAATTCAACTGTAAAAGAAAACCAGAACACACTGCTACATGGAATTATGTCAGGTCAGCAGGCTACCGAATGTTAAAGGGGACATTTCTTAGAAGTACTCATCACCCTTTTTTTTCTATGAAAACTAACTAAAAAGTTAAATTGTTCCTGCATTTTGGGGTGAAAATAAAATACTTGAGAAATCACACAGTTGGCATGTTTACAAGTTTAAAAAAGCATGTAGTGAAATAAGTAATAATGAAAAAGAACACACATTGAAAAGGCTGACTTTCATTTCAGTAACAAATGCAGTAGATAGAGTTAAAGGTGAAATTACAGGATGGCATAGCGAAGAGGAGTCTCTAACGCACCGTTCTGAGTTTGTTCCCTTGTGACACTTTCTTGGTACGTAGTTCTACAGCTATCTTATGCCTTCGATAGCAATTCAGGAAGGACACACACATCACAAGGTAGATGGTATGCTACAGTCACTATTGAAAGTCTCTGGATTTTATACAGTTACCTCTGAGTTTAAAAGAGGATTAAAATAATACAAAAATTATATAAAGTATCTTTTCATATCCAGTCAATCTCTCATTAGTACCATATTAAAAACATTCCTACAAATTATTTTCATTCTCTGGGCCTATTGGACCAGAAGTTACTATGAGAGATGGTTACTGTTTGCTTCAGGTTTCTCCAGTTAAGGGGGAGCACATGGAGCAGAGGACCTGGGTTACTGCTGGGTTCATGCACTTTTTACCTTGTCAATAGTTGAACAAAAATTCCTGAGTGCCATATACACAGCAGGCTGCCAGGAGGTGTTACCTCTATGACAGATATTGTTTCGTGAAAGTAAGATTATTTTCACCATGTATTTTATTTAATAAAGGTCTTTTGAAAATTTAGTCAATAGCCAAGTTAAATCTGACATTATATTTCATGAGGCCTCCCTCCCCCACCCCCGAGATTTTAAACTCAGGAGTTAGAATTCAGAAAACGGAAATCGTTTCAGGGCACGGAGGAATAATCTATAGATTTCTTAAAACCTATGCAAGCCAAGTCATGTCTATGATTTTGATAATTGAAGTGTTGTAACTAGAAGATGGAAATTAAAGTTAAAAATAAAGAGCCCGCATAGCAGTAGGTTTAAAACATGCCCCTGACAAGTCTCTGAGCATCTCCCCCTGAACGGCATGTTTCTTCAGGGCCTGGCTCCCTGGGGCCGCAGGCGCCCCTTGCGGAAGGAAGCCCATGTGAAGCGGGGCCAGGGCGCACTGCTTCTGAGGTCATACTGTGAACACCTAAGACTTAGAATGTTATTGTTCATCTACTTTAGACACAGCCTTGAGACTGAGGGGGTTTAGATGTCACCTTAAATTTAAATATGAAGTTTAAGACCGCTAACATTGCAAATAAATGGTGTATATGACAAATAAATTGAGAATATATATATCATTGAACAGGAGTCTCTTAAAACATTTTGACAACATGAGGCACTATATGGAAATGCATTTAGGACTTGTTAACACAGAACACTCAATTCAATGCAGACTTATAAAAATACATGTTTTACATAAATTATGCTTTTCACAGTAAATTAATATTTATCATATCCCATGATCTTGGCATAATGTTGTTTTAAAAGAATAGAAGTAGACATGTGCAAATTAGTTGTGCTCATCATAAATGTCAATTTTTTTTTTTTTGCATTTTGGGGTATTCATGTGCAGAAAAAAAAATTTGTTCCTCACACTTGGCATGGTCTGTAGGGAGAACCTATTGTTTTAATCTACCTGATCTCCTGTGTAGTGCGTACAATTTAGGAAAGCCACCTTCTTAAAGGCAGATAGGACAATCTATCCTTTTGTAAATTTTCTCAATGAAAATCTGCTCTGAGTGATGAATCCCTGAGTTCACAATCTCTACGAGCACCGGTATCACAGTGTCTCCAACTGGTCCCCAAAGAGGGAGCGGATGCCGAAGTGGCCACTGCTATAGCTGAAGAGGATAAGCCTTTTGTACATGGCACAGAACACAGCCCAGTGACAAACCCTGGTGCGCTCCTCTGAGAGTTACACCTAGGACAGGTCCCAAAGATAAAGGAACCCTGGGCACAGAGCTCCATTATGTGTAGAACAAATTCTCTCTATTCCTGAGGGACCCATTCGATTCAATTTTATAGATTTTCCATGGAATTTCACATGTTAGGTAATAACCTAAAAGAACTAACACTCTGAAGGGAAAGAAAGTAAATCCATTTTAATCAGAATGATTTGGAGTGTGTCCGCTGTAATCTAAGCGAGACCCCAGGCTACCCCGCGGGCGCCTGCTGCCCAGGTACGCCCCGCTTCCCTGACATGGCCCCTCCCAGCGCAGCAGGAAGAAGGAACCCCCAGGGCACTCTGCCAAGGGCACACTCAAACAGGGTTTTCACACCCAGGCAGAAAGACTTAACGTTCTGCATACAGGGGTGGTTGGTCAATTCCATGTCTAAATTTCAGAGTGTGAACTTGGTAAATGATCATCGCATTATGACAGTAAGCACCACAGACACATCAGCGATGAAGCCTTAGCTGCATCCTCCAAACTCTCTGTTCTGACAGCAGCTGCTGTCATTTCAACCACCTTTCTCACTTTTCAAGCAGCAGAAAGGGGCTGCGCTACCAGCGGCAGGGCCGTAAGCTCAGAGACCACACCCCCATGTGCTTTCAGTCACATATGCTGGCCAGTTAGGTAAGCGGAAACACTTTATCTCCCATGAAGCTATAATTTTCTACATTTGACTGGGGGAAAACTGGATCTTTTCCCCTATATCAGCTAGTATGGTAAGATAAAGCTTTTGCTGTATAATGAAATAATATTCCAGTCTTGGGATAGGTCACTTAATATATCCAAATGAGACTCTTGTTCTTACTTATAAGTGGCTAAAAATTTTATATAAAGTTATTCATAATGACAAGTTGTTCCCAGATGGCTGCATCCAGGATGCCCAAAATACACCCTGAGCCAAAACACTTTAAAACATAAATACACACTCTTCTTAGGGCAAGAAGATACTGAAGCCATCATGGAAGACCATCTTCCAGGACACATTAGCTCTTATAAAGCAACCCAGTCTAATTTTAACTCATTATTGTTCAAGGGACTTTCATTTAAAAAAAAAGTCTTCGGAAAGGTTTAATTAATTAATTTGTAATGAATGCAATGCTAAGAAGAACATGACCTTCAGCATTCTCTACGCGTCTAGTATCCTCCTTCTTGGGTATCAGTCCAGCAGTCATTTGTCCCACACATGACATGAAAAGGCCCACAAGACTCTGTCCCGCGGATGTCCTGTTAGGGGAGGTGACGTCTTACTTACCTTGCATGAAGAAGGAGCTAGGGAAAGTGCTGGCTGCTGGTTTCGAGGAAGGGTAGCCTGGCGAGTCCCTATTGTAGTCGGCAGTGCTTGCTGATGGCGCATAAACCTGCGGAAGGAGAGGCAGTTTAATTTTGCTGGCTGCATTGACCAAAGTATCTCAAGGTCCATTACTTTATAAGAAGCAGGTACAAAATGCTTAATTCCTACCATGTGCATTCTAAACCTGATGAAAGCCTGGAAACACGGCTCCTTTCAGAAGAACAAAACAAACAAACAAAAAAACCCTCACCAAAATGCTCATTATGTTTTTGCTAACGGGAGACCGGGTATGATATTTTTAAGTCACAGGCAAGAATATTGCGAACTATGTCTAGTTATAAATGTTATATAATATCAATGGGGTGGTCCTGGGAATTTAAACATCCTTAAAAAAAAAGCCTAGATGGCACAAGAGCACTTGAAAGGTAAAAACAGAAAGACACGAGTGAAGCCTCTCCTTTTGTTTTTTTAATTTTTCAATGGCAGTTGACATTCAGCATTTGATTAGTTTTATGTGTCCAGCATCGTGATTGGGCATTTAGGTAACTTAAGGAGCCTCTCCCTTTTACTCTACCTTTCAATTAAAAATCTCATTTTTGAGAGAGAGAGAAAACAAATGCCCTATTCAAACCATAGAAAGTGACAAGTACATCTTGGATTATTAAATTCCCAGTGTCAGCCTTTTGCAGAGATGCCTGAGAAAGGCCACTGAAAGCCGGATGGATCTACACAGACCACCAACAACCAATGTGTATACAAGAAGGGGGGAGCCCTCCTTTGCAGTTCTTATTCTATTTGTGTGTGCAATAAACTGTGCCAAAATCCTAATTTACTTACATTTGTTTACTAATACTCATGAGACTTGGGGAAACGGGTCTTTATAAAAATAACCTGTGTATTTTCTTGTTTATGTTTCCCTTAAAGATGACAGCACACTGGAAAAGCATAAATTCATAAGGTATAGTTTAACGTTAATTGGTTTCCCTTGCCCTTTTTTGCTAAATATAAATTTTTTAAATCCCCATTCTCTTTTGCTCCAGAAGTTCCTCTGTCCAGATGGTCGGAGAGACTGAAACACTGTCATCCTCTTGATGAAAATGGATACCTTCCTGCCTCCATTTTGAAGCCGGCAGCGGCTCACAGAATTGGCAGTGAGCCTACAGTGATATTCACAGGTCACAGTAAAAGAAAGAGAAATTCGCCAATAAAAAGGCAACGGCAGGGTTACCAAAAAAGTAACTCCCATTTTTTTTATAGTGCATATCAAATAAACACCCTAAGAAAAATTATATAATTGCTCTCAGAACACCATGAATCACAAACTAAGTATTAATATGAGGTTTAGGATTTCACAAAGGATAGGTCCACAGAGACAGATGTGGAAAAATACGCACATACATACATACATCAAATAAATGCTACACGTGCCCCACAGTGCCCTTGAAAGTCGGGAGGTCCTAGAGACTGAACAAAACAAAAAAGACCCCAGAAAAACCCATGTGCACTTTAGAAAACAAGGATTTTTCCTAAGTCATGGATGGATAGAAGACCTATATTTCATGGGCTATATTTTATTTTTAAATGTTCTTATTTTAAATACCAATTAAAAAACAGCTATTAGCTTCTATTTTCAAAGGGCTTACGATAAAGGAAATCTTTTTTTCTAGCATTTTTAAGGAGCAAAGAATAAAACTTAAGCCACGAATCCCCACACAAATCAATACTCTGGGTTCTGTGAAACAAATTCCAGTATTTTCTTGAGAACTATGCTACTCACAGTTTAGGAAATACTCTTAAATGTATTTGGAGAAGGTCATGCGAATAGGTTAAAAAGAAGAAAGAAAACATTACCTTCTAGAAAAGGGGAAACTGAAAATTAGGTCTCCTCATTCTAAGGACAGAATGAACAATAATATGACTATAATATATCTACAGGCTATTGGCCTGACAGCTATTTGGCCAGTCAGTGTTAATATAAGCTAAGTGTACTATGTGTTATCGCCAAATATCAGAAGTCAATATACTTACTATAAAACTGAAAATAAACTGATTCATTATTAAGTCATTCTGTATTTTAACATAAATGAAATGAATCATTTTAGGATAACAGTTTAATTTTAATTATATGTTCTACTACATTATCCTTAAATATGTATATTATTATGTCAATGCCATTTGATGGCTCCTATGAAGACTATTCCCCGCCCCTCCCCCCCCCCAAGTTGGGTAGAATTATTTGGCATTTCTTTTGTGAAATAAGGACAAATCTCTGGTAACTTTGCTGATGTGTAAGGAAGTTACTTTGACTATGAATTATGATCAAGCTCAAAGATCTATGGGTAAGATCACTTGCTCCAAATTCATACATGCTCTGCGCATGAAAAAGAATATCTGTGGCATTAAAATAATTCTTAGGAAATCTTACATTATCCAATTTGTTTCTCTGGTGTTAGAGCCAAATGAAGACTCTTTAGACAAGATGAAAGTCTCTGTTAACAAGAAATGGACCACTGTTTCACAGCTTTTTAAAAAAAGGCAATTTCTGCATGTTTTATATGTTTTCTTTATATCGTAATTTAAAGATCAGGTATAACGACATTTATACTTCATCTTTGTCACTGCAGAAGTTATTTTTAAGGTAAATGTTCTATATATCTGTTTATATAAATAAACCACATAAAACTATTATACTTTTAAAAGTAGAAGAAATCAAACAATTTACGTGGTTCAACACCTCCCACCCCCACGTTTTAACTATAAGAAAATTCAATAAAGAAATGGTCAAAGGAACTGCTAAAGCTATACAAGTTGATGAAGCTATACAACTATCAACTACTCTTTATTTTCCACTACTTAAAGGTTACTTTTTTAAAAAATGGAGGTGGAGGTAGAAGATATTTATGAAAACAGAGTGACTGTAATGTTCATACTTCAGTTATCCATTAAGGTTTAATCTTTAATAACCTGGATGACTGGTGAGCTGATTCATTATTTTTAGTTCAGTCAATTATCTTGCCAATTCCTCAAAAGACTTCAGAGTGTAGGTTTCCATGAGGTATTTAATAGAGATACTAAATTCAGTAAGAAAAACTCACATCATTTATTACTATTCTAGGTTAATAAAAAAACGACTTACACATTTGTTAAATATGATAGGTTTTTATTTAACAAGTAACAACAAATATGCCAGATAGCTTCAAATAGTTAGAATCATTTTTAATGACTAACACCAGACTAATATCAGTTAAATGAAACTAAAATAAAAATCTCAAAGTCTAGTTCAGGGCATTGAAGTGACTCCACCAATAAAAGATGAGGAAAGTAAAGGAAAACATAAATCTATGCTTAGTTTTTCTTTGGTAAGATAGCTTAGATCGAGGTGACTTTGGTATTCCGAGTCCTCCCATGTGAGTAACTAAAGAAGTGAGGAATTTTTGTTGCAAAATTGGAAATAGGGAAACTTAGGAAAAGCTCATAGGTGGCAGCTTTTTAGTGTACGATTTGCTGAATAAAAAAAAAGTTTCATGGAAAACTTAACAGCAAAGTATAGTCAATATTCAAAGGAGACACACTATCTTTTACAATCTTGAATTTAAAACAGAACCATACATATAAAAATTCTGAGTTTAGCAAAATACTTTAGATAACATTAAACCCTGAACTGATAAAAATAAGGAATCTTTTCACTTCACGTTTACTTTGTGTTATAATTGGAGAAGTATTACTATTGTACATTAGCTGCTCCAATGGTCCTGGTTATCTTCTGTGCAGCCATCAAAGACACAGTAACATGATACATTCTTTTAACTAGAACCTCTGCCCATTAGAAAAGAAGAAAACTAAGCACCCCCCCAAAAAAGGCGGGGGAGTAAAATGCATATCCTACTTTTTCCCTCTTGATGTTTTCATTTTTATCTGTCTTGGCTTATCAGTTTCACTTACAGAGATTTAAAAAACAACAATAATTATCATTTGTTTAGGGTCTTTTGTACAACAGCTTTTGTGCTAAGAGATCCACATACAAGGTGGGGCAAAAGGAAGTTTACAGTTGTGAGAACTCAAAACACAGTTTATTTTGTATTAAAATGTATTAATTATTGTATTATTTTTGCATGTGATCAGCTGTGAATCTATGTTTGCCCCACCCTGTATATAATTTCTAATCTTCTGAATGCTCATATGAGGTGGCCAGCATTAACCCCATCATCACTATTTCACAGGGCGAACCTGGCCTGCATCTGACTGCCAGTTCCACCCTCCATCATCTACACAATGACAGGCCTGTTACCTTAACCTCTGTGGTCTTAAGGTTCCCACCTGTAAAATGGGGACAATACCTGCTAGGCAAATTGCTTGTAAGAACTAAATGATATAATGTGTTTAAAGCAACTAGAATAATAATTCACACATATTAAGCATGCACAAAACCTCGGACAATAGTATTAATGTTACACTGTTACTGTTTTTCTTATGGGGACAAATGTGATTCAGGAAAGTTAAGCCACTTTTCTACGTTAAAAATTTAACAAGTGGTGCCCTTACTGGTGTGGCTCTGTTGGAGGGTGTCATCTGGCAAAGCGAAAGGTCACCAGTTTGATTTCCAGTCATGACACCTGCCTGGGTTGTGGGCCAGGTCCCCAGTTGGGGTGCATATGAGAGGCAACCAATTGACGTTTCTCACATCGATGCTTCTCTCCCTTATTCTCCTTCCCCTTCCCCCTCTCTAAAAATAAATAAATGAAATGTTTTTAAAAATTTAACAAGTGGTAAAGAAAGGGTTTAGACAGGTTATCAAAGTTTATGTTCTTTCCACTGAAAAAACAATTTCTTGCTCTTAAAGGCGAAAAAGAAAGGGTACTTAAAATTGTCCACACAAGGTTCTATTTGGCCATAGTTTGTAGAAAAATATTCTTGCAGGGTCTTGTAATTACCTTTTAAGAAAATAAAATGTGCTAAGGCATGCTCAGCGTGAAACCAATCCATGTGAGAGTGACTTGCTTCCGGAAGTGGGAAGCTGAACTCCGCAGAGCTCTAAAGCGGAGGGGCTACAGGCCTGCGCACGCGCAG